ACATACTTTTTTTATCTTGAGAAGTGAATGATGTAAAGGATTAAAGGGAGAGGTCGTTTTCTGGTTAATATTCACTGCTTACAGCAGATCCTATGTCTATTTTCGAACTCGATAGGGGATGCGTAATTGGCTGGACTTTATACAGGGGGTGTCGTCCACATAAAGACTCTTTATAGTTGATTTCAAAGTTTGGACTCCGTACAGTTGATTTTGGACCAATGGACTCTATAATAGGGGTGAAGCCAATTGGCTGGACTCTATACAGGGAGTGATGTCCATCGAAACTTTGAGCTCACAGTTGATTCCAAATTTGGACTCTGTACAGTGGATTTTGGACCAAGTGACTCTATATAGGGGTTGGACATCATATAGGGGCTGGACGCTCTACTGAGTCCAACATATACATTCGTGTTCACAAGGACAAGACGAGACCAAAAAATGCAGACGAGAGAATCTCACCAGTAGTCCACAGCTGAAGATCTCCACAACTCAGGTCACCAAGTGGATACGTGGCGTCATCTACATCTTCCACGGTGGACTCATCACTTTGGCAGGCATCTCTGTCAAGCTCCATCATCCTTTACCCCGCCAAGGCACAAACTTAGAATCACCAAATCAACTGCTGACACTCGGACGATTCCTTGGGAGCAGGATTATTTTTTTGATTTTTGGGACCAAACAGCGAACGCGTCCTTTGTGCATGACCTGCGCCGCTTTGACCTCATGGGGATTCTATATTTTTCCCTCAGCACTCGTGCCCGAGCTGAGTCAATCATCCGACGCGGTTGTGCATCTCGTGTCGCCTCCCGGTATTTTACGACTCCCTGGGTTCAACCGAAGACCAATCACACTGTGCACGGACACCATTCTCCTACCTCCGAAGTACGACTGAATGCACCAATTAGGCCCCGGCGGATAATGCTGGAGAATTTGATGGATTCTGCTTTTCAATATACTCGCATTCTGCTCCAAAAAAGCACTGATAATGCTTGAATTCTGAATATACAAGATCCACAGAATTATTATTACTCAGCAGGCAAAGGCGTGGTAGCTGGTAGAAAAAACCCCGAACATGATTGTTATACGTAACTATTACGTTGGCATCAAAATTTACATAGCAGACTCAGCGGAGGACGTTCAGGTTGGTTGTAACTCTGAGTTTCATGCCGCTAGGCAATCATCAGACAACTGATACTCTGGTCTACCCAACAGTATGCTTGTAAACACATAGGGCCACAAGCATAAACAAATTTAGCGCTAAATCTGGTGTGAGGTATGGGGAGAAAGCTGGCGCGGGCCAAGGCGCGACAGTGGAAGTGCCAGGAGGGTGGCGGGCAACAGGCAGGTGTGAGCATGAAAGCGCGGAAAGAGGCCATGGGGAGGCAGTGTACAGCAGATGTGTGGGGGGTGCCAGGAGGGTGGCGGGCAGTGGCCCAGTGAGATCACTACAAGTAGGGAGTCGTTTGGTGACGGGCAGGCGTGTTTTGCGAGCTCAGTGCTGTTTTTGTATTTTTCATGACGCATGGAGGTCAGGTGGTTGGCGTGACGGGCTTTGAAAGGTGTCTCTGATAGGTCGATGTAAATCTTGCTGGTAGATTCTGCAGCGGCCTCATACACAATCTCCTTCGTCTGCCACTCTCCACGCAGCGGGCAGGATTCCTTAATTCTGCAGTTGCATGCCTTGGTTTGTTCTGGCTCTCGCAGGTTGCTCTTGTTGTGGCTGCTGATGACCGCTCCCATATTTGGCATACAACTGTAGCTCACTTTCAGAGTGTTACGGTTAAAAATCTTCCCGAGCTTGGATGTTTTCGGGAAGTGCCTGGAGACAAGGCTCAGGAACCTACCAGCGACGTTTGTGCTAACGTTTTTGGAGTAGGGAGGGTTGAACCATATGACCTTCCGGCTGCGGTTCTTCCTGCCCCTGTGCTCATGTGCCTCGGGCTGAAAGCTCAGCACTTCGGTGTATCCACTGGCCTTTAATGCGGTCTGGTACACGGGGGCTGCATGGTTGAATGCCTCCCCGTCGCTCGATATAGCGGAAAGGCGCTTGTTGACAGCAGCAGGGATGTTGTTGGTGATGCCAGGTGGGTGGTTGGACGGCTTGCTGACGTAGAGCGGGTTGTCATTGGGCTTTCAGAAGGGTTGAAATTTCCCGGTGTCCAGGTTCATGGTGACATCCAGGAAATCCACCACCTTCAAGTTCGCTTCGATGGTAATTTTTAGGTCGAAGCGCTTGAATATTTCCGTCAGCTTTTTTCTGAGGCGGTCTGCAGCCTGTGGGCTGGTGTCCTTGAGGGCGGCCAGTCCATCGTCTCCGTAGAGGCCGATAGCGGATCTACCGACGAGGCTTGAGAGCTGGTTGAGAAGAAAGGCTCCCACAAGTTCGCACGTCTCGGCGCCATCGTAACTTCCCATTGGTACGTCAAACATGTCGCCCTTGTCCTTCATCCAGGGGCGGCCATCGTGGAATAAGAGCGATTTCCGGGCGTGAAAGATGATGTCCATTTCACGCGGCTCGATCGTGATGAATTGCTCCGCGAACGATAAGGCCTGACGGAGGAGCTGCTCATCAATTGACGGGTAGAATTCTACCACGTCAAAGCATAGGAACGTGTGGCGCTGTTTGTGGGGTATCTCCTTGAACCACTCGATCACTGACATGGTGCTCCTCCATAGGTTCACGGCCGTTTGGCGACGCACAGCAGCCACGATCTTCTGAGCACTCTCTGCAGCTCGGGGATCAACGGATTTTGATTTTGGATTTTGGCATCAAAATTTATATATTTGTTCTAATTATCGCATGATTGTACTCGGCTCACACACATGGACATGTACATGTGTGTAATAAGCTGGGCCGCAAGTCACACAATCATCATGCAACCTAGCGCCTGTGTTTGGACCACAACTTACTTGCATGGCATAGGGGATACATACACTCATGACCTTGTATTCATGTACATGTACATGAACAGTGCCGCGTCGCTTCACTGTACACAAATGCATGCAATGCACGTACACTGTGTTTTTTTTTCGGATGGCTTTTTTATTTTTTTCGCCCTCCCTCATTGATTTCATCGAATAAGGTGACGCGAAACATAGAAACAAAACGGGGTGGCCTTAGTTAGTTTTCTGCAAAACGTACGGTGCTAGCGTAATGCTAGTTTCCAGAATGTGCTAAATATGCTAGGTATAATGTTAGCAATATCCGCTGGGGCCTAGCACCAATCCTTCAGCCTAACTATTTGGTGCGGAATCACCCGGGCTATACTAGCAGCCTGCATGACACACCACCCTTTCCGTCCTTGCCACAAGTCTCTACCGGCATTGACTCGATTGTAAATACAGAACTCGTACAACAAGATGTGTTGGCGCCTCCGGGTGATAGTAATTTGATGGCAGCACCAGAGCTGCTTCTAGTGCATGTGTGCGTGTTTTTTCTTGATATTTACCCTATGCTGGTGTCTTTGTTTGAGGTTTATGAAGTTGACGAAAAATTGGTAGCAAAGAAAACGGAGGTTTTTGTTGTTAGGCGGGAGATCGGGAGAGGTTTCAAAAACATCAAAAAATCGGGAGATCTTGTGGCTGATCGGGAGATTTGGAACCGCTACCAATGTCGATGGTGTCCTTTTTTGCGACCTCTTTGTACACCGCTCTTCAGTACCTAATACCTTACAATGTCGAGATTGCATTCACTCTCCATATAGCTTAGTTCTACCCTGCATTTTTCATTCACGCTACGGTCTGTTTTATCTTTCTTATTTGGCTGAAGACAGATACAATAGAAATCCGTCTGATATTCGCACTGCTGCATCCCCATTGCTGTTTCGACATGCAGTACTTCGTAGAGTACCGATACATATTGTAACGGTATCACGGCCATTCGTACCCAGGGGCGCAGGACACAGGAGACAAGCACTCGTTTGTTTGCATTAACGTATTTGAACAAAGGACATGACGGGAAACCAGGGACAATAACTCCACTGGAAGGAACAAAAAGACTGAAAAAGACAAAACTGAAGACTCAAAAATCACGAATGCTCATATAACGCATCTATGCGAGGCAATAGACAGTTTGGTGAATGTCATCATGCAGAAAAACAACACATCGTTCTACATCACCTGCCCCCTTGATAACATTCTAAAAAATCAGGACACGGAACAAACGAACACCACAATCCACATGGACAACAGTCACATGTAGCAAAAGGAACCACAGCAAAAGAGAAAAACCACAAACGAGCCAGCTGACATTGTACCAAAACAAGCCAAAACTCTATGCTATTTTGTATCAAATAAATCAAAGAAGTGAGGGTTTTTGATCGCGGAGGGTGGAGGGATGTCTGCACCGGCAAACGCATTTTTAGGCAAGTACGAATACACGTGCATGTATGGCGGTCTGGGTGTGGCACCATATTTTGGGAGTTGAGTGTATGAAACGTACATACCCAAAATTAATAGTAGTACTGAAGGCACACACACACACACGCACACATGTCAGATTCTTCTATTGCTCATATTCGGCACAGTGCGCCCCGGTGTGAAAAGCATGCCCCTGCCCAAAATTGGAATTAATCTCACGTAAACTGAAACTTCTGTCGCTGGTATCTTCTTATTTGCTGCTCCTGCCGACATTGTTGTTTTTGAACTGGTGATGCGGGAGCAATAGTGCACTGTCTGTTAGTTGCATCCACTGGCAGGTTTGGTTTGCTTCTCAATATTCGCCTTGTGGCTACGCACATGGCGGTTGCGATGGCCGGATTGTGAGAATGCCTGTTCACAGCCCGGCATTATTATTATTATTATTATTATTCTCGTATCCGTCCCGAATGGGACTCACGACGGCAGAATTAACCGCGAGCATGTGTGTGTGAGAGTGGGAGAACGAAATGAAAAAGAAAAGAAGTCTTGTAATAAGGTCAAATTTAAGAAGAGCAGTACTAGACTAAATGGCTGAGCAGATGTTACTCCATTGTTTTCTGTCGCGGGCATAGGTGCCGAGATCACGAAGGCATAGTGCACTTGTATGGTTTCTCGCCTGTATGCGTTCTCGTGTGTTTGCATAGTGCTGATTGGTCATAAAAACGTGAGTTGCATCTGTCACAATGATGTGGCTTCTTCCCGGTGTGTTTTCGGATGTGCACAGTTAGATAACGCTTCTGCGAGAAGTCTTGTCCACACTCTGTGCAACGATATGGCTTCTTGCCAGTGTGCACTGTCATGTGTATTTTGAGCTGCGACGGATACGAGAAACTCCTTTTGCATTCCGGGCAGACTCGTTTGGCTTTGGCAATTTTTTCAGGTTCATTAGTCGACGGCTGCTGTCCAAGTACGTTACTCGGTGGTAGTGGCTCGCTGAGATCATGGTGATGCGGTGGCATTACCTGCAGCCTGGGAATATGTGGTGGCTTGTGATGTTGTTGTTGTGGTTGTTGCTGTTGTAGGCCTCTTGCTAGTGATGGTGATAGCAACACATCACTACCACGCGATTTCGCAAACACATCCTGATTTAATCCTGTATTTACATCGGAGCGCATAGCGGTAGAGACCTTTGGCAGGTAGGGAAAGATTGCTGCATCACTCAAGCTGTTGAGTAGGTTAGGCTGAATGAGTGGTTCCGCCGGACCTGCGTATAAGGAGAATGGTGTCGCTGAGTAATCAGGTTCTTTCATTGACGGCTGCTGCCCGAGTAAGGTGCTCTGTGGAAGTGGCTCACTGAGGTCGTGACGACCACTTGGTGGCATTTCCGGTAAACTTGGAATATATTGTCGTCCTTGCCTTGACACGACCATCGCATTCATATCACCAGTAGGCGCAAACACATCATGAGGGAATCCTATATTTCCAAATGAGCTGACGCCTTTAGAAACTTGTGGCGGGAACGGAAAGAGTGCTGCATCACTCAAGCTGTTGAAATTATGCTGGTTATCCGGCATTAGGCTATGCGGAAGGTTCGGTGCCGTCTGACCTTGGTGGAAGGACAATATTGTCGCTGGGGTTTCAGGTTCTTTCATTGACGACTGCTTTCCGAATACGTTACTCTGTGGTAGTGACTGGCTGAGGTCATGTGGACCTTGTAGCAAGTCAAGTAAGCCGGGATTATTTGGCGGCTGGAGATGCAGTCGTCTTGGCTGTAAGGCCATTGCTGGCGCTGGTGCTGCCATCAACTTACTATCACCCAAAGGCGCAAACGCATCATGATGTACGAGTCGTGTGTTCACATTGGAGCCCATGCCCGTAGAGACTTCTGGCAAGGAGGGAAAAATTACTCCATCAAACAAGTTGCCATAGTGCTGGTGATCCTGAATCTGAAGATTTGGTGCCGCCAAATTTTGTAGGTAGGAGAATGGTGTTGATGCGCTGCGTGATTGGTCTTGTGGAACCAAAGCGTCGTGAGCGTAGGGGTTTGACGCTACACCACTCTGACTGAAGTGATCAAAGGTAAACTGGCTCATCCTGCTTGCGTTGGTATTGTCCATGGCAAAGACTAAAACTCACAAGTCGGCACAGAAACAAAATGGAGAGGTTCTGAACAACGGTTGCAGTGAATAGGCATGAATCTGGGTGGTGGTACGAGTTAATAGGCAGTTGATGGTGATGAGATACGATGTTATTTATTATTATTATGAAATGACCCAAAGGCAATGTGCCTATCGAGGGGTTCATTTGATTGAAAGAACAGTAGATGTAGATGTATGTACAAAGAGAAGTAGGGATTGATGAGGAGAGAAATGGGGAAAATCAACTGCAAGGTGGCGGAATTCCGTTGATTGCATAAGCATAGTCAGCTGTAAATTTCCTGAGGGCAGCTTTGAACTTATAGAGCGAGGCTTCCGATGTTAGACTGGGGGGTAAACAGTTCCATAGAATAGCAGTTCGGAACATGAAGAGAGACTTAGACAATGATTTAAATTTGGGAAGAATGATTTTATTTGGTCGTCGCTCACTATTCGTAATCTTGAAATGGAAATCAGCAAGGTAATCACGATGATGGAAAACATATCTGTGAAAAGTAGTGAGACTGATGATTTGACGACGATAGGCTAGTGACTCTAGGGAGCATTTAGAATTTAAGACAGATTTGGAAGAAGTGTAATCAAATGCAATTTTTTTCTTTTTCAGTAGAGCTCTAGCAAACCTTGCCTGTAATTGATCAAGAGTGGTCATGGGTTTCTTATTAGATCCAAACGACCACACCGTACAGGTATATTCGATCACAGGTCTTACAAACCCTTTGTACAGTATGATCATTGCCGAAGGCGTAAGTTGCTGGGACATAATTGACAGTAGGTGCACTCGATATCTGAACTTCGAAGTTATTGAGGCGACATGTTTGCGGAAATCCAGGTTGTCGGTCAAGGTGATGCCAAGATGTTGCAGTTCAGAAACCACCGTTAATGGCTCATTGTACATTTGGTATTGGATTCCTGCAGGTGGTGTATCATTGATAGCTCTATGGCACAGCACGGATGTCTTGCTTGCTGAGAATTCACCTCCATTGTTCTTGCCCCATGTTTGACATGCATCGAGATCAGACTGCATGTTCGCTCTACTGGCGAGGGTGTCTTCAGGTTTGTAAGCCAGTAGGAGGGTGACATCATCTGCAAATAGATATTGCGTGCAATGTTGCATAGCGTTGGGCAGGTCATTTATATAGAGTAGGAATAGGAGTGGTGAAAGGTGGGAACCTTGAGGCACTCCGCAGTTGATGCTCCGCTTCTTCGATTTAGTGCTATGTACCTTCACTTCAATTTGTCGATCCCCTAAGAAGCTCTTCAGCCATTTTACTGATGAAGCTGTAGCAATCTTACCGAATTTCTTTAGGAGTACAGAGTGGTCGACCCGGTCGAAAGCTTTCCTGAAATCTAGAGATATCAGGTCAAAATTAGTGCCACTATCAATATTTACAGCCATTGATTGGGTTAGCAAGATAAGTTGGTCCGTTACAGACTTGTTGCGTACATATGCGAATTGACCTTTACAAATTACACCCTGGGTCATCAAGTATCGAAGTAGACGTTCCGAGAGAAATTGGGCGTCTGTTATCCAATCCTTTAGAAACTATATGAGAGTAATTGTGGAGCGATCCTGAGCAATATTCCGAAAACTATTCTCAAAACGTTCCAGCAAAACCCTACGCGTCTATAGTTTTGAAATGCACTGTAGGTGTGTAGTCTAACCAAAGGTGTCGGTGTGCGTGGAAGATAGACGTTGCGAATGTGGCAAGTCATGCTCGATAGGATATGTGAGTCAGTGTGATGGTGTGCTGTATTAGTCTGCCATCAGCTGAAGGCGGGTGAGAAGTGGTAATCTAGGCGAAAATTGAAAGGCTGTGATTGAAAGTAGAATAGAGATTCACGTGTGCAATGCGTTTGTGCATGCAGCATTGTGTAGCTTGTCATTTGGGGAGGGGGGGGGGGGGGGGTAGCCATCATGATAAACAAACTCTTCGAGGTGTCGTTCGCTTGCTTCTTGCCATAGTTATCGCTGAACGCATCTCCTGTTTTAGGGTATGTCAGCACTCACGGGCATGGTTATCTGCCAATCTGTGCTGTTTTCTACCTGAAGAGTTGAGGTATTACTCTCGACATGACGCTGGGTTAGATTAGAGAGGTTCTTAAAAAACGAGAATGCGTGCAAACCTTTGCTCTACATCATGAAGTGATAAATTTTGCACGAACTTTCGCAACTTTGTGCTCGCCACTTGTACTTGTCGTCTTGGTGGTATGGCAAGTAACCTTGAAATATGTGGCGACTGGATATGTTGTCTTCCTCAGTGTTAGACCATTGCTGGCAGTTTGAGAAATATAATCATAGAGATAGGAAATATGGCAATAAATAAGATAAATTGTGCACTCATAACAACAGCAAAAATGAAGAAAGTCAAGTTCCATAACGTTTTCTTGTGACTGTCATCAGTGGAACGCCGTCACATAAAAATGTAATAACTAAAACACACACATAAAAATGTAATAACTAAAACACACACTTATATACATGTAGCTATTTCGAATCAAGACGTGACAGTGAAGCCTTTCTAACTGAATTGAATGATGTCCATCCTGCGCTGCGCTTCACATGTGAACACGAAGAATCCAGAAAATTGTCGTTTTTGGATGTCTTAGTCGAAAGGACGTGTGATGGTGTTGTCACATCGGTTTATCGTAAGCCTACGTTTACAGGACAATATATAATGTATGACTCATATTGCTCGGCCCAGTACAAGATCAATTTAGTCCGGAACTTGGTGGATAGGGCAAGACGCATTTGCTCTGACAGTAAATTACAACCTGAACTCGATTTCCTGCGCTCAGTTTTCCTGAAAAATGGATATCCATCATCACTCTTAGCAAAACTGCTCACGAGCAAAGAGCCGCGGAAGGAACACAAAATCGGGCCAACACCGTGTCGGGTGTTCTTATGCCTGCCTTGGAAAGGCTCTGAATCAACAAAAGTCAGTCGTGCAGTGAAATCGATCGTGCAAAAGACATACTATGCAGTGAATGTAGTTACTGTCTTTACAACGGTGCGTTCGTTCACAGTGTTGAAGGACGTCCTGCCAACCCACCATTTGAGCCATCTCATTTATCAATTTGAATGCCGACAATGTGGTAGTCGGTATGTTGGCAGGACGCTTCAACACTTGTCCGAACGCATCAAGCAGCACGTCCCATTATCATTGTTGTCCCAGGCTGCCAGGTTAAGCAGGCCGAAGCGTGGGAGACCACGAAAACATCCGCTGCCTATTTCTACACCTAGCACGGCTCACAATTCGGAAACAGAAGCACCGACTACTTCCATGGAGAACGAGCAGACTAATCTGGTTCCCCCCTCGGAAACCGGACCACGGCAAGGGAGGCCGCCGGACGGTCGCTCCTCGACAAACCATGTTGCTACAACGGTAAGAGCGGAAGGGGAACAACTTGAAAACAGAGCAGAACCGAGGAGAAGCAAGAGACTAGCAGAGGCACGACTGAGACAAGTGGAGAACACAAGGCAAGGAGACGCAGGAGGAAGCACAGGCACGGCACAGAACGAATCAAGGAGAGGGAAGCGGTGTCGCGAGGAGATGGAGACTGATGACGACGAATACGAGTGCGATGGGATGGACGGCGGCATTGGAATGGAGGTGGAGGATGAGAGTAGTGATGAGGAGGAGTTTGATGTTGACAAGAGGAAGTCTGCAGTGTACAAGCATTTGGTGTCCAGTCCAGAATGTCGTAAGGTGTTTGACGATTCCTGGTTTAGTGTTATTCGTTGCGCACGTTTCTTCAAGCAATTGCAGGTGTTGGAAGCTGTGTATATTCGTACTCGTGACCCTGTGCTATGTAAACAGAAAGAAAACGTTGTATCACTCACACTCTTCAAGTAATACACACGCACCATTACATTCATTCACACAGTATCACATTCATCTGCCACTACCTTTCTCACATACACTATATTCACACATTGCAAGGGTGCAAACTTCGCTTTTTGTACTTGTTAGCTGCTGTATTTCTACCTGAAACCATATTAGCTACATGTATATAAGTGTGTGTTTTAGTTATTACATTTTTATGTGACGGCGTTCCACTGATGACAGTCACAAGAAAACGTTATGGAACTTGACTTTCTTCATTTTTGCTGTTGTTATGAGTGCACAATTTATCTTATTTATTGCCATTTTACGACTATTGTCTCCTCGTCGACTGTTTAGATAGGAAATACATCGTTCTACAACACCTGCCCCCTTTGACGACATTCCACAAATAAATTTTGATGTTGTTTGTTTGTAGTGAGAATTCAAGTCCGCAGGAAAACCGCGAGCTCCCATGTAGGGAGCATCAAACTTTTCCCTGTTTCTTTGTTTGTTTACCTTTTTGAATTCACAAATCCAAAACGAGTACATGGAATAAACGACCAAAACGTTCCACATACACAACAGCAACATGTAGCAACAGGAAACACAGCAAAAGAGAAAAGCCACAAACCAACAAGGTAACATTGTAGCAAAACTCGGCAAACCAAGAATGCGACTAAAAACTAAACGCGAGGCAGGAGACAGGGAGAATTAAATCGAACATTCCAAAAACCAATATAGTACCCTGTACATATACTGTTTTGCAATAATATATATATCAAAGACGTGAGGGTGTTGATAGCGGAGGGTGTTAGGATGGGTGCAGCAGCAAATGCAGTTTAGTCCAGGATACTACTTGTACACACACACACACACTTGTCAGATCATTCTATTGCTCAAATTCCACACATTGCACGCCAACACAGAAATCATGTTTCCAAAAACGTACACCCTATAACATCATTTCCTGGCGCTGTTATCTTCTGATTTGGTGCTCCTACCGACATTGTCGTGTTTCAACTGGAGATGCTGGTCCAATAGAGCAGTGCCTGTTTAGTTGCATCCACTGGCAGGTTGGGTTTGCTTCTTGACATTCGCCTTGTGGCGAAGCACATGCAGGTTGCGGCTGGAGGACTGTGAGAATGCCTGTTCACAGCCCGGGATTGTACACTTATACGGTTTCTCACCTGTGTGTGTTCTCTTGTGGACGGTTAGTACTGATGGGTCAGAAAAACGTTTTTTGCATCTGTCGCAATGATATTATGGCTTCTCCCCAGCGTGTTTTCGGATGTGTACAGTTAGATCACTCTTCCGCGAGAAGGCTTGTCCACAATCTGTGCAACGATATGGCTTTTCACCGGTGTGCACTCTCATGTGTCTTTTCAGGTCCGACGGATATGAGCAACTCCTTTTGCATTCCGGGCAGACTAGTTTGGCTTTGGCAGATTTTGCAGGTTCTTTAGTCGACAGCTGCAGTCCAAGTAAGTTACTCTGTGGTAGTGGCTCGTTGAGGTCGTGTTGATTTGGTAGCATTTCCGGTGAGCTCCGGAGTTGCGGCGTATGGAGATGTTGTTGTTCTCGTTGCGGGTCTCTTGCTGGTGATGGTGATAGCAACACATTACTTCCACTCGAAGAGGCAAACACATCATGAGGTAATCCTGTATTTGCAATGCATCCCGTGCCGGTAGAGACTTGTGACGATGACGGCGAGATTGTTGCATCACCCAAGCTGTTGGGTAGGTTGGGCTCAAGGAGTGGGCGGAAGGGAAATGGTGTCGCTGAGTTATCAGGTTCTTTCAGTGACGGTAGCTGACCAAGTAAGGTGCTTTGTGGTAGTGGCTCCCTGAGCTCATGACGACTTTGTGGCATTCCAGGTAAACTTGGAATATGATGTGGCTGGAGACGTTGTCGTCCTGTTTCTGAGCTGTGTGATTGGTCCTGTTGAACCGAAGCGTTGTGAGTGTAGCTGCTTGCTGCTCCATCACTCTGACTGGGTTGATCAAAGGAAGGATGGCTATTCCTGCCTGCACTGCTATTGTCCATGGCAGAGACTACGGACCGAAGTCGGAATATAACCAGAATCAAGAGGTTCTGAACACTAGTTGCAGTGAATATGCAGAATTCTTTGTAGTGGCTTGAGGAAATAGGCAGTTGATGGTGCTGAGAAAAGGTGAAACTGTGAAGGTGGACATATCTAACAGTCAGTGGTGCCGCGAGGAGTTGGCAGGGTAAGTGTTGCGGGTCGATGCAGGTGAGAAAAAGGAAATGATCAGACTGTACTGTATTGTATTGCATTGAATTTATTTTACTTCACTGGCTCAACAGTACAATGTACAACTACAAAGAGGCCAGGATAACCGATCAAAAGGAGATAAGTGCGGACTGGAAATAGGTGTTGGTGTGTCAGGAAGAAAAAAAAGGTGACAAATGTAGCAAATCATCTTAGATAGGGTAAGGATTTCAGGTTAAGAGAAGTTGTGATTTGGGCTAAAACTGCGAAGCTGTCCAGTGTAATAGAAATTAGCGGATGCATGGAGAGGCATGCATGCACTGTGGTACCGGTAGTGTTAGGATTGACTCGGATTCAGAGCCAAGAATAAATTGATGGAATAGAAAAAGGGACCAAGGAACTACAAGTTACGCTATAGTATCCACTAACAACACCTTCCCCTCCTATGTTATCATAATAGATGTACCTTAGAACCTTCCAAGCTGGCAGGCTGTTGGGGTGCGTATCCAAGATGCGCTAGAGCTGATAGCCAGTAAGTTGTAGAACAACAGTACCATCCGTCAGTGTCGATCAATAGGGACCTTTAGCACCACGTTACAACGTAGGCCTTTTGACGTACTTGATCACGTCGATCGGGGTGCGCGATACGTGTTTTGCATACTTGGCTAGCCTTTAGCGAGACGTGATTATGGATCGACGTCGTTGCCACAGGAACAGAGCAGAATGGCGCGCGTGATTTCAAAGTTCCTCGCGGGAAATGTGGAAGGAAAGACTTGAAGAAAAGACTTTTTTAGTAAACTACTGTACATATACATGTACTTCGAAAATTAGTTGATTTCCTTCAAGGAGAGAGAACGAGAAAGAGAGAGAGCGCGTGTAGAGCACCTTATGCAGTTTACCTAGTAAGTTGCAAACACAGCGTTTCTGGGCAGTCGATGATTGTTGATGGCTGCCAGATTTCAGGATGCTCGAGATTTGGAGCTGTACATGACATGCGTGATGGACGAAACTACCGGTTTCCATTTGGCGTCGTAGTTGGTTGTCAAATTCAGGAGTACAGTGTTCCAGGCAGGCGAGCCACGAGAGAAGGGCTTTTCGCTCGACGCTGCCACTGCTTCTTTCAACAGATTGATGTCCTCCTTGGTTCCAAAACGAAATTTCTGGCACACAGCCTTAGTCTGCGTGTCCTCCGCAGCCATACCGAAACAAATTTTGCTCGGAGAAGAGGATACCGGAAACACAAAACAAAGATAGCAAAGAATAAAATTACGCCTAGTGCCTCTCAATCGATCGTACCTCGTGGGTTACAAAACAAAAACTACAACCAAGAGTTCATAACTAAAATGAACTCTTGCTACAACATAAACACATCGACGTTATTTGAACTCTTGCCCTCTTGGTGCAAAGGCAAATTCCTAGGTCCTGCCACAACGTACAAAAGGCCTTTTCTACGTCGAAAACGTTGCCTGATGAACGTACATCCGACGTCGCGACGTGACCCCGAACCCGGACAAGGGCCTACGTCAGGCTTACGTAGTGAACAACGTGGTGCTAAAGGTCCCTAATGTTATCGCATGAGCTGCGAGCCCGCGTTGACCTCTTTACATAACTGTTGAGTACGAAAAAGACGACGACATCTTCTCAAGACATTACAACGGACAACGGGAACAGGTTAGGTCGAACAACATTTTATTGGGGAGACGAAGAGACTGAGACAAAGACGAACGAAACGACAAAATTATGGAAGAGAGAGACAAGAGGTAGAGATCAAGTGTGAACGGCAAGATAAATGGCCTGGGTAGCTATGGCAATTATGGGCGCGGAAGTAGCTAGCTTTTTCTTTTCTTTTTTTGTTTTCATTTGAATTCGGATAGCTCAACAGTACAGAAGTACAACTACAAAGAGTATCGAATAGAAGGTCCCGAGAACGGGAAACCAAAAAAACAACAAAATAAAACAGCAACATCAATTTACTGATTATGCACATTGCTTGAAAGCAAATCAACCCAAATAGCCAATTTGACGCGGAAATCTGAGATAGTAGTGCAGGACTTCAGGTCGTCTGGTAAATAATTCCAAACAAGAGCCGATTTACTTGCTACCCAGGCCAACGGAGCGGAGACAAAAGGTGAGTACGAGAGTGCATGCAGGCCAACTTGGATAAGGTTATAGAAGGTACGGGAGGAGGTACCTACCGTCACGATAGGTGGCATGTGTCTTTTCAAACTAAGAATTTGTTGTTTATTGTCTATTATTTTGGCTATTGGAGATTCACGCATCCTGAACGTCTCTGGCTTTCTCTTTTCTTTCTGAGTGCTTTGATAGATATGACCAGGGAGTAGAACACGACACGAAACTACAGCTACATGTACAAGACACGATCTTCGTACGATTACGGAAGTGTGAAGTTGATTGTTGGGCGTTTAATGTTAACCTTTAACAATAAGGATTCAGTTTCCTCTGGTATTTTCTCAGCAGTTACAGTGTCATCCGTGTAGCGAACGAAAACGTCTCAGTAGATGCTGTGTCGATTTTGAAGCTGTCCATGTTGATGGCGGCTAATGAAGTTCAGAGTTGGCTTCCCATTGCCAACCACCCTTTCTGCTGTAGAAACCAGATATAGCAGAATCCTTATTGAGAAATAACATAATTATCTCTGATACAAGCGCAGTCTCTTGTAGAATGGAGAACTGTATGGATCGTGTCCATGCAGGTTTGACATCACAAAGTGTCACATACCCACATGCTGCGCACTGAGTACAAACACCAAGGCTGCCATATTCGAGAACGGGTCGGATGTAGGTCGTGTATATAAATAATAGGCTGGAAGCGTTCATTGTGCCACGTGTCTTGTGGAGTTGGTGTAGTAGTTTTATTGGCTTTGTTGGTAATTTATATGATGTGTTGGGTCCATCGCATATCGTCTTGGAGTGTAACGCCAAGGTGCCTATGTTATTGGACCTCCTGCAGCAGAGTCGATTGGAGCGTGATGTGTTGGTTTTGAATGGAAAGGACGACGGTTTAAGTGGTGTTGACGAGGAGATGCCAATCCTTCAACCATCGTCCTGCTGCGTGTCCTGCACGTTGGAGGAATGCAGCGGATAAATTCCTCGTGTAATGCGTCGCGATGAATGCCGTGTCATCGGCAAACTGGGTGCATTTGGAGTGCGAGTTTGTACATGCTGGGGGTAGGTCGATCGTGTACACCAGGATAGGAAGGTGCCCCAGACAGAGCCTTGGATACTCCAGCTGGAATGGATTTCCATGATGAAAAGGCGGAGCCAACCTTGACGCGTTGTCGGCGGCGAGTCAGGTAGCTTGTGAGCCAGCTATGGGCAATGCCATGGACACCAAGGTGCTTGAGTTTGGCCAGGAGGCCAGCATGCCAAACTCCGTCAAAGGCCTTTGATAAGTCAAAGACGCATGCTGACACTATGTGACGGGCATCTCGGCTGGCGGAAATCTAATGCACAAGGCGGGAGAGCTGTATTTCAGATCGAAAACCAGATGAGTCGGCCGGTAGGTGGGGCTCAATGTGGGCGTTGGTGAACAATTCTCTCCTGAACCTTGCTGACAACGCTCAGGAGCGAGTTTGGCCGTAAATTGGTTATCTCTGCACAAGAGGCTTTCTTGTGTAGAGGACTGATAGTGGCGTCGCCCCAGTCCTGTTGCTGCTCGCCTCGCGAGAAGGACTCATTGAAAAGCGTTGCGAGGGAGCACAATATTTCCTCTCCAGTGATCTCAAGCAATTTCGTCGGGATGTCATGGTACACAGCCGACTTCCGGAAATCAAGAGCGGAAAGGAGTTTTCTGACCTCCTCCAGGGTGGTGGTGATTCCCTTCAGTTCGCTTCGATGATGCGCGACACGCCTATCTCTGGTACGGCTTTAGTTTATATTATATTTATTGCAACATCTCAAGACTCGGTGGAAACACCGGCCAATGTGAAGAGAGTGGGTGATTGCCAACAACGGCGATAAATATAAGGAAGGGGAGGGAAAAAGAAAGAGTAGCAAAATGAACAGCAACAACAACTCCGTAAAGAAAGATAATGTCAAATAAAAACCGTGAAAAACACAGAGACGCAAAGGACATGTGGATAATGAGCAATTTATGTCGTAGTAAATAAGGGGCGGCACGGATCTTAAACAGGCGGAGTGAGGTCAGATCCGTAACTTCTCTGGTTAATTTTTTTTGTAATTTTTTATTGTTTAAGGATTCCCCAAAGGCTTTCGCCTATCGAGGGGTTTCCAAACTTTCCATAATACGAAATCTGTAAAAAAAGTAATGAGCGATAGGTGAGCAAAGAAAGAGAAAAAGGCATAGTCTAGGGCAGAGCTCTGCGCTTGAGCATATGATTGTAAGCTTGCAGAACTGGGATAATACATATAAATGATGAAAAATGTGCCAGAGATAAGCTTCTACAGAATATGATGTGACGCTACATATTCAACGGAATTCCACTACAGTGAAACCAATGCTCGTAAAACTGTTTGTGCAGTTCTTGCTTAAATTCGCTTAAACTGGTTAAGGAGGTGATCTTAGGGGGCAGACAATTCCAGAGGGTGCTGTATTTATGGAAAAAAAGATTTGAACAGCGCTGTCCATGGTTTGTCAATATCAGCTTATTGGGCCGTCGTGCACTGGTTGTGATATGTATTCCAAAATTAGATAAGTAGTGGGGGGTAGAGTGAGCCAATCAGAAAAAGCAATAAAGAGAGGGGAGCGCAAAAGAGTGGATGAGTTACACTTAGGGAGTAAGAGCGAGTTTCTAGTTCTTAGAGAAGAGAACCAATTAAAACACATGAGATGAGGTGGGCACAACTCTAGCTTAATAGAATGGACAAGAGAAGCCAGGTGTGCACTGCGTCC